TTTTCAACAAAAAAAGAAAACATTTGCAAAAAAAGTGTGGTATTCCGTCTCAAAGCTGTGGGGGGCACCGCCCCCACGGCCCCAGAGTTGGGGGGGCAAGCTGCCCCCACTGCCCCCCGGCTCCCGCGCCTATGATTTTAGCCCTCACCCGTTCGTAGTTTGTCAGCGTCTTACGAGTAGGGGAAGCCAGGGTGAACGGAGTGAACTCCAGCCGTTCGCCCCTCGACGGAGCAAGAACGGAAAAAAATAGGTATGCTGTCCGCGATGTGAGTAAACCAGTGATACCAAATTTCAGGGTACTAGGTCAACGGGTGAACTCAGAGGTCAGGTCAAACACTGGAAATCGAACCAGTAAAGTCACTGGAGTTATAAAATCGACCAAAACGCGTGAACTGTCCGCGAAATGGGTTACATCATTCCCAATCAACCTCATCTCGAAATCTAGCGAACCGGGTCACATAAGGTCATACAAGGTCAGCGACCTTAGATGACCTCGGATGACCTTGACACATGGCGGGTCATGTGAAGTGTATTTATGGGCGCCGATCTCGAATCCCGTGTCAATCTTACTTTAAAAAATGATTTGCGGGCACAAATCCGCAAACATAATTAAGGATTACGAATAAAATGAGCAAGATGCTCCGAAAACTGCCCATATGAAGCGCAGCCTTGACCTCGAGGCAAATGCACGTTATCTAGACATAAACACTAAAAAAAAAAACGCATGCAAAATGCATAAACATGCACTAGAAGGCAAGGAAATTCACCCGGATGCGGCAAATCGCAAAATCCGCTTATTTTAGCCGAACATGACCTGACCCGAGCTCCGATGACCCATTCCTCACTTTGAATCAATCCGCGCCCCCTACAGGCACCGACATCGCCCTTGCAGACAGCACCGACGATAGTCGCACAGGCACGTGGCGAGCTAGTGTAACTGTAGCCGCGCCTTCAGCCACGAACACCAGTTTGCGCCGGATCAGCCAGCCACGGAGCAGAGACGGCCGGCAACGAATCGGCAATTAACAGTGCTACATATCGACACGGTCACAAGAGGCGAGGCGTTAACCCAGCGCCCACTGCATTGGTCGCCAGTGGACCCACTCAGTCACTAAGCAATCATCGACAAAATACGTCTTTTATCGGCCAGACATTGATCTGTTCATTAATATGAAGTGTCCATCCAAATCCACGCTATCCGCCACACAGCAGCTATCGACGGTACCGGTAGATACCCACTCCAGCGGCAGCTGGCCGCCACTCACTGACACCGGCTAGAGACAGCTGACCGCTGAAATCACCAACACTTCGGCAGGGTATGAGCGGGTCTCAGTCAGATCCCAGGCATGTAACCCGTCCCCACCTTAGCTCATCTGGCAGAGATGATGAAGAGGTGGTAAAGCTGTGTCATGTCGTCCGGCTGGATGTCGCTCACCAGGGCCTCCTGACAGGTGCTACAGCTGACAGAGTCGAGCGCCTTCTTCACCACGAACCCTGCGATGTAGGTGACGATGTTGCCCACCAGACGACAGCCCAGGCTGGAAGTCGTGCTCCGTGATGATGTGGAGTGCCGTGGCACCGTTGTCTGAGGTGGTGGAGGCCGAGGTAGTAAGGCTGGCTCCCCGTCCGCTGGTCGTGTGACCGACTGCCAGGATGCTGGTCGGGTCGAGGGCTGCCACTTTCCCTGTGCTGCCGGGCCGGACGCCGCAGCGGTGGAGCAGGTGCCGGAATATCCCGCAGAACTGTGCGGCACTGGGGTTGTTCCAGCCACCTGGAAGGTTCGATTAGTATCAACTAGGGTTACCCGCGTGCTCCGCAACGCGAAGAAAGGTTATTTTTGACCCGTGGGTATTGGGTTGGTCTGTGTCGATTTGGTTGGTATCCATTTCGTTCGATTGCTTTTTGACGGCCAAGCATGTTGTAATAAAACAAAAAAGATGCATCGCATCGAGGTGCCCGTGTCGTATTATCATGCGTTCTACTTAAGAATGATTCGAAAACTGGCGTGAAGTCTTTTGAGGGCCATCGATGAACGTCGCTAAAAATGACAATGTAATGGTTTGGAACATTTACATTTTTTAAGAATACTGTTGCTCATCATGCAAAAATGAAGAGTGAATATTGAACAGAATTGAATGCTCTATCCAATGGTACCATATTCATTTGCCAAAGGTATCAGGTTATGCAGCAAACCCCGTGTGATTAATAAAGTGGCACAAAATTGACAAACATCATTTTCTCCTGTGATTTGCACCACCTTGATTTGGATCAATCAGCTTTTCACAATTTTTATATGAGAGGCGGTACCTTTCTCTTGCAAATAGGCGTTGATTCAACTCGCTCCATTTAATGGTCGCCTAAAAATAAAATTAATTCCAAAATCCCTCAAAAACCGCAATTTTTCAAATAAAAGTGCCCTCTCCGGTGCACGTGGCGCGTGCTATCCTCTGCATTGCACACCACTCAATAGCCCGTTCAATTCTGTACACGATGCTGTTTTCCCCGTGCCGGTCGGACCCCTGGTCACCAAGATATTGCACGGGAACTGGACCCGTGTCGGCCAAAATTAGCCGTTTTCGCCCGATTTCGCACGCCAATTTATACATGTAAAGTCTATGACGCGAATTTGCACTTTTTGAGCACGCGCCACGCACTCCCTATCGACCCGATCGAGCCCAGACCCCTCAAAGGCACGTCGCGCATCCTTGATCTATAAGTTGTGCAAATTTCAGGGCGCTAGGTGCAATGGTCTGGCCTGTAGTCCACGCAAAGCACCACCAAGTCGGGACCTCGGTAACGGACAGACGCACCCTCCTCAAATAGTAATATAGATAAAATATGGCTAATAGTGTTTAGTGTTAACATACGCCAGGCACAATTGTGTTGTATTTGTTGTTAACACATTGTTGACACACACGCACACGCACACACACACACGCACACACACACACACACACACATGTTGGCAATGGTAAAGCAGTCTCCGGGCATTTGGTAATAATTTTTTGCACTTATTCTGGTTTTAGTGACTGATGGGCCTTTACCCACGCATGACTGGAGGGTGGTGCTCTACAGAGCCCCTCTCCTGTTTTCTGCAATAAAATATTTACATTTATATATTGAAAAAAATTAAAATATATATTTGTTGCAATATTTCTAAACCACTAGACGTGACAATACGAAACTTGCAGTACCTTCGGCTGCATCAATCTGAAACATTTTATAGAAATAAAAATTGTGTAGCTACCATAGGTCGGCCGTAAATGACGTCAGAGTGATCAGTGAAGTCATATTCTGCCAATTTTGATGCAAGAAATTGAACTACAGCAATCGCTCTCGGTGACAGATAACCTGTAACAATATAAAAAATCAAGAGTCTGTAGCTTTTACTTGCCAATGCAGGGTGATCTCTTGACTCTTGAGCCTCATCCCTGGTTTGTCAGCAATCAAATCCAGAATCCTGCACATCTATTTGGCATCTTGATTCTTGAGAGACTGAGAGGCAAATTTCAATTTCAAAAGATACTAGTCTTTAAAGCTGAAACATATTAACAGTTAGTCAGATCAAAACAAGGCCTGTAGCATACAAGTGTAGGATACTGGATGTGCACACAGTACACACTACAAAATACACATAGCAAACAGTGAGATTACAGTCATGGAAAAGCATCAGGTTTTTAAAATAATAGTTTACACAGACTTAAATACAAGAATTTAAATGAGCTTCAAATAAAATGAGAAGTGGAGTGAAGTACCTAACAAATAAGGGTATCCATAAATCTGGTGCCACCGTCGGCACATATAAGGTTGGTAGGTTGTAGGTGGGTAGGTTGTAGGTATGGAGGTTGTATGTAGGTTGAGGTTTGTAGGTTGTAGGTTAGTTAGGTTAGTAGGTAAGGTTAGGTCAAGTAAGATTATGATTTTTATCTTCCTTGGACTTCATATTTACTTGTTAGCACTTAGCATTGATGGTAACGCCAGATTTACTAATACCCTATTTACTGATACTGATAACAGGTGAGCCAAAAGAGCATGAAGTGTAGTTTAAGCTTTACAATGTGAAAACTAATTAAGTAATGACAATCTGAGTTTAGGTGCTCCAACTAATGCACATTTTTACGTCACCCCTGTGCTGTTCATTATTGGGATCAAATGTGCGACACGGTTCACTGGTGCAGATATCACGACGTCTGGCATTTTCACTATCTATCAGCTCTGGTTGAGGGTGAGCGTGGTAGGCCACTGCACTCTGAACCCAGAGCGGATAAGAGCCCCCGAGGCATCTGGCATAGTGCATGGATTTTTTGTTTGGCACTGAACTACTATTTAATACTAACTGATGACATTAAGTAAAGTACTTATTTAAAACCTATAATCATAAAACCTTCTTACTTCATAAATATTGTCCATTGAAGGCAACAGTAGAAAGTGAGCAGGCAAAGCAAGTGTAGGTAATGAGTCTGCTTTCCGCTGCCAATGTTCTGGTACCTATCTAGGTAAGCTTTCTTTGTGAAAAATCATATGAATGATGCTCTATCCATGCAAGAATAATTAAAGGATTGTGGTGTGCACAAAAAAAAACATGAGAACTGAATTAAATCTAAAACAGGCATGCCAAGCAAATCTACCTTTGGTGCCGCCTATTCTTCATCAGCGTCAACAGTGCAACATGTCTAAGGCTAACGTAGCCAAATTACAATAGATAAGCATATTTCAGCACTTGTTCCACAATCTACACATTCCAAAGAATGCCGTGAGCAAAAAAGATTAGCACTTTTCGGTCGAAAAATACCACAAAATCAGTCTCAAATACCCCCCTCCTCCCGTAGTGTTTACACAGCGCCGCAGATTCCCGCCCTCACAAACATGGCGGCCAGTCGCACGCACTAAAACACTGCCAATGTCCCATCTAGTCTTTTATATCTATGGGGATGAGGGAGGAGGCAAATAGTGGTGGTGAGATGTGAAATCAAGATGAGCTTGGAGGAGCTTCGAGGAGCGACGGGAACGATTTTTTGAAACGAGAGGAGGTTAGAGGAGCTTGGAGGAGGTTAGAGGAGCGACGGGAACAAACCCATAATGTTGATGTGCACTGTGCATTCTAAAGTGTGTAGCAAGGCCGTATATTAGGTGTGTAGTTGACTGTGGATATTGATATGTGAGGTCTGTGAGGTGGACGTTCGGAGGGAGCCGGAAGGTAAATGGAGGGCACGTATTTTGAGACCACAACACAAATTGAGGCACCTTTTAATTATATTGATATTATTTCAAATTCTTGTAGATTGTAAATTATTGCATTATTGTTATGCAAGCCGTAGGTTTTTAAACTTGAAGTGCTAATATTTTTGGTAATTCAATTCAGGGACAATCAGGTGCATGCCCCGGTGGTGTTTCACCAATCAATGCTGCCAGTGCCAGCGTTCCACCAGCACACATGACAATTTGGGTTTGGAAACATCAACAAGCCCATAGCGATCACCACAAGTGTGATGTCAGCTTGCGAAATGCACTGACGGTTATATGGCCTTGGCGATGGCAGTGTTGGTGGAACATCCACCCGGCTATCTCTCCCGATCGGCCACCATATGTGAGAGGTTATTGAGAATATTTGGTCCCTGGTTATCAGTAGGTATGAGTTAATGCTTTTAATCCTCAAAGCGGGACTTATTAGATAAGCACTTGTTAGTTAATGTACTTATTTTGATGAGAACTGGCACAAATAGCTGAAACAGGAGCTGAAGAGGGAGGGTCAGGGACTAATTGTGAAAATGATGATGTTTTGTTTGTATTGATGTTTGTCACCATTTCTTGTTTACATGCACTCATAGCTGTGATGAAAACTATTTAGCCAGATTAATGGTAATAAGCTGCCATCAGGCATCAGAGGGTCATTATCTCAATTTAGGACAAGATACCTGATTTAAAAACACATTAAATGTCAGAAGTGGTCAATCATTAGATGCTGAAGTACCTTGAACTAAACTAGGTAGGTACTAGGTACCTCAAAGCTCAAAGCATTGACCTAAGAATGCCAATGTCAATGCAGAGATAACAATTGGTACAGCACTCCAACACTGTAATCCCTCACTGCTGCTGGGTGCATGCTAGTGGCATGATATGAGCCTGCCATCCCAATCCAATCAATTTCAGATTCTTAACATAAATCAATTTTTTTACCACATATGCTTTTGATATCATACCACTCCACTGGTCAAATTTCATCAATTGAAAACACTGCACCTTTAGTAAATTAGAGACACCATGAATTGTGATATCACTGGCAGCAGCACCCATCTCAAGGTCACAGCCCATCACCATACCTTCAGCAGTAGAATGCACAAAGTGTGGAAGGTTTTATACCTGCCTCTTCCTTGGTGAGAAAAAGTTATCATTTTGGATTTTACAGGGAGGGAGTATGTCCCTAAGGCCTAATGCCCACTGGAATTTGGATCCATCAAAGATAGTTTAAAAAATATCAAACAGATGAGATGAGAATGATATATCAGCTCTACAACCTGAATCTTTATCATATGTTTGCAAGTTAAGCTTACTTAAATGGATATCACCATATTTTGCATTGTACTTTCTAACTTTCCTTTTTCTCCTCAGGGACCTACATTTAGTTCACATTTGCTGCTATATACTCCCAAGTCCCAGGCAAGCTGTCAGAAACTATCATGAATGCAGGTCAAAGTTCTCAGAAGCAGTAAGTATGTGTATTGTACCTATATTAGCATTGAGCAAGTTCAAGCTTGGTTTGGTGTTGCTATTGTATTGATGCTTGAACTTCTGCTTTAAGTTATGATCAGTGGGCACCCAATCTTTTGCTACTGTCTGTCCCTCTGTCAGCTACAGATTCCACAAATGTATCATACAGCATGCTACCTCAATAGAAAATAAAGTGTGTACTGTGTGAAATAAAGACATGCATAATCAAATATAACCTAACCTAATGTAATCCAACATGTAATGAACACCTACCAAACAGCCAAGACCTACCTCTTGCAGAATGCATCAGGTACCTTACCTTAGTCAAAATGCCTGTAAATGTCCCTGCTAGGTAGCTGGATGTCACATAGTGGCACTATATAGCCATGAAAATATGGACTATCCTGATACCTATCAGATACCTAACTAAAAATTTTGGCTTTTGGAACTTGTAATTGCATGATGTTCTGTACTGTTCATGTGCATTATTGCTGTGATTTCAGATATGGATTAATCAAGCCTGCCAAGAAGTCCCAGACTAGTGCCATAAGGCCATCAATATTCAACAATGACTCCAGCAGTGGCGATGAGTCTGCTCCAGCTCAGGATTGGGGCAAAGCTGCGCTCAAGGCATGTGCCATGACATCTTGTTTTCCTTGCTTATAGGTATGCATGAGTGTGGTCTTATCTCTATGTCCTCCGACTATTCAGCATATTTCGTGTCTGATCACCTTATTTTAAAATACCTAACTATAGCGCATTCCTTGTGAAGCACATTTCCTTGTAATGCATATATTTCCTTAAGCATACTCTCGCCAGATTGATGAACTGTCAGCCTACGTTGTGGCTTGGGGAGGAGTCTTATTGCCACACTATTTCACTTTTTTGTGTGAAAATTTTGTCCCACCAGCTTGAATGAAGGTCAGGGAGGTCAAACTTTACCCGCGCCGTGGTGGGGGAGGGGGGTTATTTTCACGCCCCCCTCAGGGTTTTTGACGAATATCTCAAAAACGGCGGCGTGCAGCGCCGATGTTTTTGGCACACCTGTTCATACATCTTTTCCGCCCATGATGTGAAAATTTCAGACCCAGGTTCATCAATGTCAGGTCACCAGGTCACCTCAAGTGACCTCACCTAAGAAGTTTCGATGTCTGCCATAACTACACCGAGTGACCGATCATTTTGAAACTTTCAGTGATTGATGAGGGCAACAGTGTGTACAAAGTGTTTCGGAATTTCGATATCGGTGACCTAAGGTCAAGTCAGTTTTGCGACCTCCCCATTAGAAGTCAATAGGAAAAATTGAAATGCACCTCTTTTGAACGAACGCCATTTTAACACTTTCAAACATCTAAATACCAGAAAAGATGTAAAGATGACTCACATAACCGGAAAATGACCTCTCCTTATGCCTCTGAGGTCATCTCAGTTCGCAACTGAAGTCTAGCAGTTTTTTTTTTTTTGCTAATAACTTCTTATAGAGACATGCTAGAGCGATGAAAACGCCTTAGATGTTCCGACTCGACAATATGGAACGACTGAAATGCAACATAACCTTTTCCGGTCAGGTCATGACCTTGACCTGAGGTCAAATTTTCAAACTGATCTTTTAAGGTCAAATTATAGTTCATTTGAAGCGTGTCGACGAGAGGAACACGATGCTGGCAAAATTGATGTCGAGACTCTCTTAAGCGAAAAGTTATTTAAGAAAAAAAAGTTTTTCGTAAAAAACGGCAATTTGCAGTTTTTGCCCTCTGAAGGTCAAACCGTTGACCTGAGGTCAAATCTGAGGGTACCAGTACCACCCGGAAAGAGCTATCGAATGCACTTTTCTGCGACGCTGTAGCTCTATTGGCCCGAGTTGTGCCGTGGTTTTCGAAAAATGTTGAAATAGACAATATTTTATCCTTTGCTGACCTCTGGCGACCTGACCTTTGACCTGACCTAAAAATGACTGTATTTTCTTCATTTTTTTGACGTTCTTTCAATTGCCTCTTACCGCGCGTCGCTACGTGGCCCAGGAGCCGAGTTAGGCGCGGGGGGGGGGGGGCGTGAAAACGCTCCCCCCTCCCCCAGGACACCACGGAAAACTCAGCCCACCAGCACGGCGCGGGTTAAAGTAACCCTCCCACCACCTTCCAAAAAAGTCAATGAGTTGGTATCAAAATGATGTTCAAAAAGACAAAAAATGAATCTATAACGAATTTCACTGAAAAATATTCACCGTTTTTTTAGACATTAGACTTTTACTTTTGGTTACTTTTTAGGGCCTCCGCTGTTCCTTTGACGTCATTTGGAAGCAATAATTTGGTATCTTAAAGTGCGAAATATGTTTCGCGCAAACAGTATAAACCGCAAGAGCAACAGTTTTCTTTTAGTATTAGATTTTAAAATCGGTAGGCCTGCGCTGACGTCACAAATTCAAGGGGGCGTTCAAACGCATTAGCCCCTTAGAATCCGAAAACTGCACCTTTGAAATAAAGTATCTCCGAATTAAAGCATTGCTCGATGTTGTGAGTGCTCAAACCGGTAATTGCAGGCCAGGGACCCCGATTTGGTTATCTCAACTCAAAACTAATGTCAAGGTGGGACGGTCACTTAAAGTTCTATCTCGAAGGCGCTCTGAGCAATCGCGAACACATCGTCAGGGAAGGCAGTCGGTCGGTATGACAGTGTGGGCTAATTTGTTGGTGCCGTTTCAGTCGATATCGCACGGCTCCGTGCAGGCGGCCCAGACGCGAAAGGTGATCCGGCAGGCGATGCAGGAAGACGCCTCGCTCTTCCAGTACGATGAGGTCTACGATGACATGCAACAGCAGAAACAGAATAAGGTTGAGACCAAGAAGACAGTGGATAACAAGGTAAGCGACATTCAAAAACTATTTATGATCCGTATACGGACGTTTTCGTGCCCGTTGAGTTGTCGAACGATGCTGATGACCATAACTGTATTCTGTTGTATCGATAATTCAGTGTGTAACTATAGCTATGTTACAGGGAGTTTGAGAAATCCGTGAGTTTGCAAACTCCCTAGGGAGTTTACAGAGTCATCAGGGAGTTTGCAAACTCACTGACCGGTCAGGGAGTTTGGGAACTTTCAGAGTGATTGGGACAAATAAAATCAAGTGTGTCAGATGAGGGTGGCGGTACGTGCCGTCCGTGATGTTAAAACACAGGCGGCACGGTATATAGAGAACTACAGGCGGCTAGTGGAACGGCCTATATAACCGTCGCACGCTGACAAAAAGCTTACAGATCATTATTTTTTTTTTTTACCGGAAAAAAGCTACTAGCGGAGCTGAAAAGGGGAGGTTCGGAGCAACGTGCTCCTCCGTTCCGTCGTTTCCATCCTCAGGATACTGAAATCCTTCTCCTCCACGCCGAAACCCCCACTCCCGGGGCTGGACCAGCACCTTTATCTCATGCGGGCCGCTCCCAAGGGAGCGCACCCCGTAGCCGGGTGCAGAGAGTGTTGGGGGGGGGAGGGGGGGGGGGGGGCTGGTCGGCCTGTCCATTCGGACGGGCTCAGTGCCGGTGACTCACTAGGTTACCTGCCCAGACCAATGTCTCCCCCTAATTCCTTTCATTCTTCCGGCTCTGAAATGGTCTTGTCAGACCGAAAGGGCCTAACCCAACAAAACAAAAACAAACAAGCAACGTGCTCCAGTCGCAGCTGGATGCCAGCAGCGCCGGCTCTCGATGACACGTCTATGGCGGAGTGGGAATGGGGCGTGAATTGGTGCGTGTGCCTGTACTTAGCATAAGTGACCAACTGAGCTGTTTCTACTTTGATATATTGAGCCTGACTCTGGAATAGCCACACTTGAGTGGAACCGATCTAATTGGGTCGTGAACTAAATAAATGCATGACTAAATAAAGCGGCGGTACATGCTTGGATAGATCACTGAACAGTTTAAAATCAGACGAAGCTATTTATAGTGTGCATATGATCTATAAGCTTTTTGTCAGCGTGCGAGGCCTATATAACCAGCCGCCTTTGTTTTAACATCACGGACGGCACGTATGCCACCCACATGCTGCACACTTGTTTTTGTTTGGCCCAATCGCTCTGGAATTTCTCAAACTCCCTAACCGGCCAGTGAGTTTGCAAACTCCCTAGTGAATTTGTAAACTCCCTAGTGAGTTTGCAAGCTTACGGATTTCTCAAACTCCCTGTAACAGCTATAAATTTTATTTTCTGTGGTTCGACCATTTATCGTGAGTCATGTCTTGTAACACACCCCTGAGCCCTGACCGCACCCGTGTCCGTTTCTGTCTGCGTGCGTCTGTCGCGGTGTGTCCCTGCCCCCCGGGCGGTGTTGCTGACCTTCCCCGCGCTCCGCTGCCAGCCGCGCTACATGCAGAAGCTGCTGCAGTCGGCCGAGCAGCGTCGCCACCAGCAGGAGCGGCGCATCGAGCGCCAGGTGCAGCTGGAGCGCGAGCGAGAGGGCGACGAGTTTGCCGACAAGGAGCAGTTCGTCACAGACGCCTACCGCCAGCGGCTGCTCGAGCGCAAGGAGGAGGAGGAGAAGGAGCGCAGGATCCAACAGATCGAGGGTGAGTCGACACTGTCGGCAGAGGGCAGTGAGCGTGCCTTGAGGAAGCATGTGGATTCTTTGGAGATAATGAGATTGAATGCGTGAATGCATAGCCCACGATTTACATATCTAAGAACTTGTATCGCTGCTGTCTATTCAGATGATGGTCTACAAACTGATGCCCAACGATCTGAATTGTTTGTGTCGTTTTCTTGGTGCGCACGTTTTCTACATTTGGGCCCAATGCGTCGAGCTTGAGCATGGGTTTGCACTAAATTATTGTCTCCATCATATTCTGAATGCTCCATTCTGATTCTTGGATGAAATATGAATATCTACTACCTACACTCTGCATGGTAATTAATTTGAATCTGCCAACGTATTGCGTCTCAGTTCGCTATCAGCCTTTGACACTATGCCGTCCGTTCTTCATTTACAGAGATCAACGACGTTACGAAGCAAAAGGATTTGGGCAGCTTCTACCGACACATGTATCAGAAGGCGAATGCGGCGCGCTCCGACGCTGACGACGTCAAACCGGAGCCCGGCGAGACCTCTGAGACGGCGGTGAAGGTGGAGCCGGGCTCGGAGCCGACGTCCCCGGCGGCGCCGGGCCGCCAGTACCGGGCGAGGCGCGTCTCCTCGTCCCCCGAGCCGGACCGGTCGGAGCCGGCGGCCAGCGAGCGACGGCACCGGCGCCGGCGCCGCTCCCCCTCCGGTGACCGGGACCGGTCCCGCAGCCGGGACCCAGAGAGGAGGCGTGACGGCGGCGAGGAGCGGTCCGAGCGCCGCCGCAGTGACGCCGACTCGGACTCCAGCAGCGGCAGCGGTAGTGACGGGGAGGGGCAGAGGGAGCCGCCCCCGCCGCCGCCCTCGCAGCCGGCCCGGCCGCGGGCCTCCTCTGCCGAGCGGGCCGCCCGGCGCCGCGCGCTGTACGACAAACGCACCGTCGGTGAGGTGTTCGAGGCGGCGCGGCAGCGCTACCTGGAGCGGCGAGAGGCGCGCGCTAACGGCCCGAGCCCCGTGTCGCTGCAGGCCTGAGCCACTCCCGTTCGATACCGCGAGGTGTGAGTACCGACTGACGATTGAATTTGGCGCGCCGGTAGACGCTCGAAAGTACATCAAGCCACCCCGACGTGATCATTGTGTAACTAGGTGCATTGCTTGTTTTCATTGTGTTAGATGAAATACACATGTTTTATATTACTTTGGTAGCATTTAAAGTGTCAAAATAACACAGAAATGTTACAATATATTCATACACATCACAAATGTACGTCATTTATAAATTACACAAAGTGCCTCGACATTTAAAGCGTAGTAACAAAACAGCTGTATATCCTTATTTCCCTGTCGAGTGTCGAGTGCGCCCGAGCTTTCACCGACAGTAGTCTGAAGCGCCGAGCTTGTAGCCGCCCCTCCCACTTAATCACCACGTCGGAGTCCGCTTGCCTCGGCTGGGATAATTTCCAGCGAATCGACACTCGCTTGTTCTGTCTCTCGGTGAGGCGGGTTCGCGACTTAAACAACCAACTATGGGGCTGGCACTTGGCATAGTTATGCCGACGCTCCCCGAAGGGACCGTTTGCATAATACTGGGTCATCATATCCACGAAGGCCACGCCGGGCTAGCAATCATTGGTGACACTAGGCGACGACTGCTGACTGACACTGTCGGCTGTCGATCTGTCATACGTGCCGGTCAGTCCTCTGGCAGTTCGTCCACGACAGCAGTCCTGCTGAGCCGCCCAGTGTTTCTCCCGGTGCCGATGTCGGTCCCCTACCAGGTCAGTGGCGGCCCGTTCGGTCCATTATATCACAATACTGTCGGTCGACGACGTGAGAGCGTATCGCATTACCGACGAGGTTCCATTGTGCGCTGTAACGCCGTTCGTTGGTTGTCTACGCCCCCGGTAGACGACATGTCCACCTCAAATCTTGGAGTCTTCTGAAACACCGAAAGAAATGCGTCGAGTACTAACAACAAACCCAGGGGGAGGGGAGATGTAGGGGCGCGCCGACTGCAAGGTCATGTTGCGTTCAAACTTCAAACCCATGCTTAATCCAATGCTGATAGAAAACCAGTACTATCATATGCCGTCTTTTCCGGGGATGTGACATAACGACCGCATGCCGCCTACTGGCTACACATGTCTTGTCCTATCACTCTTCACAACGTAGTTACGAGTACTATCCTATCGTCCCACCTGTCCTAGTTGGTGTTACACGTACCGTCCTGTCCGTCTGCGTTGTCGGTGGGCAGCACGAGCACGGTGCGGTCTCCGAGCCGGCGCACCAGCTCGTTGAGCGCCTTGGGCGTGTCGTAGTGGTCCATGTCCTCGCTCTCCGAGCTGCTGGTCACCGTCTCCTGGGGACACTCGAGGACCGTGACCGGTCAGCGGGCCCGCTCCAGCACAGGCACCCATTGAACTTAGTCGGGCTAAAAAGAGGCCAAATGTGAGGACTGAATGGATCAGAAGAGATGTGCCAGAGTCCAGGGTATAATGATATCGGCAGTAGGTATCCCCTGTAACCTGTTTGCCATTACGTTTTCTGGAGACTGGAGTCTGCGCTAAACGACACAAGCTCTCATAGACATATGATTATAGACATAGACACTTATTAACCCTCGCCCGTTTAGGGGGGGGGGGGGAGGTCGAACGGACCCCCCATGGTTTTTCGCAAATAACTCGCGTAAAAAACGGCCGATCGCCACGAAACTTTCAGTACCCTCGCGTTCATCCATTTTACACCTACCCTGAAAATTTCATGACCCTGACCCGAATGACCTTTGACCTGTGACCTACTTTTCGGGACCATGTTTGGCCGGAATCGCGATTCGGCGTATGCCGGCTCGCATTAGCCGCGCGTTTGCAGTCTTTTCGTGGTTTCAAGCGTTCAAACATATGATGTTGCCCCCATGCATTAGGAAGGGTGTCAAGGTCACCTGAAGGTCAGGTCAGGTCATTGACCTTTGATGACCTCGGTTCACTTTTACGAGTTTTACATGTTTCTAGGCCAGTTTTTGGTGCTGAATTCGAATTTAGCAACCATATGAACATTTACGAAGTAGTTTTGGTGCCTTCGTAACATGTTACGAAGCTGTCAGAGGCGGTTGCCACCTACTACGAATACCATTACTGGTTGACCTGACCTGACCTGACCCGACCTGGCCTAAATGCATGAAGACATCATCTGTGATCAAAACTAACATGATATTCGTGATCAGCACCCCGAAAAACCTCATAGCAGCCACACTTTACGACGTTCTAACAGGTCCCGATTTTCCCGACTTTTGGGTCATTGACCTGACCTGGAAGGTCAACCAATGACCTAGGACCTTAAAATTGGGTATTATCGGCTTCCTCTCGTCACGGGCAACACGCTCGTTTTTTCCGCGAAGCTCTAGCTCGATCAGGGGCGAAACGGCAAAGGGGGGGGGGTCCAACGGACCCCCCCCCCCCCTTATACGTTCGCGGCTGGAAAAACACCAATACGGGCGAGGGTTAAGGCGATCCACAGTGCTTGTGGTTATTACCACCTCTCGTCAACGATACAAAGTCATAAAAAGTTCATGTGACAGACCAATGAGTAAGCCGAAACAGCGTCGTATGACTGATGCAACATGAGTGTCCCAGCTCAGCGTGCGATCAAACATAAGGCCGAGATTATTTGCTTCCGAAATAGGTGAAATTTTGTGATCGCGGAATTGTACCGTAAAACTAGGGGCATTGCGCAAATTTTGGCTGCTTCCCAGCAATATCAGTAAAGTTTTTCAGCGTTTACTTTCCAGCCGTTAGTACGAAACCATCTGTCAAGTGAAGCCAATGTGATTTCCATCTTTCGTATAACGTTGGAGAACTCTGTGCTTTTACCACTAACCAAAATTTGGGTGTCATCAGAGTACTGTACTACTACTGCATCCTCGGCGAACAGACTGAGGTCGTTGGCGAAGACGCAGTGGAGCAGAGGGCCGAGACAGGATCCTTGGAAAACGCCGATGTTGTTGGGAAGCGGAGCTGATATTTTGGTGTTCCCCAGAGTGTCAGTGAGGCCTCTGTGCGTGGCTCCGAAGATAAGAAGCAAACCAATTGATATCAATTCCGTGCAGCTGCAATTTTGTGAGTTATTTGTCGTGGTCTATCGTATCAAAACATTTGCTCAAGTCCAGCAGGCACAGGAGTGACAGCTCTCCCCGATCGTTTGCGGTTAGGATGTGATCGAATATTGATACTAGCGCGGTTTCAAACGAGTGACGAGGCCAGAAACCGTGCTGGGTGGATGATAGGTAATTGTTGTTGAGGTTATTGTAGAGCTGGTGATGAACGGCTCGCTCTACAATCTTAGGGATGGCAGGGACAATGGATATAGGACGGAAGTTGGACGGGTTGGAAGGATCGCCGGCTTTGTGGATTGGATGGACAAGGGAATGTTTCCAGGATTGAGGTATGTCGGAGAGAGATGCTGGAATTGACCAAATGCACGAGCACCGTGCCAATCGCGACAAACGACATGCGGACCATGCGGATAAAAATACCGTCCTCACTATGGGCGGACGAACCGCTCATGGAGAAGACGATAGAGCGTAGCTCAGACAGTGACAGGGGTGACAGTAAAAACAAGCAGGCCCCAACGCGTGGCAGTCTGCAGGGTAAGTGAGGCGCTTCCCCCTAATTACGCTCCTCACAAGACGCGCGTGGCCCTTCTTCCACGAAGTAGTGGTTCAGCTCGTTGAGCTGTATATCCGGCGTGGTGCGGCCGTCTCGACCACTCCCCACTCCAGACCGCACCACCCTCCACACCGAGCCGCGCCCCTCCTGCAGCCGCCGCCGAATCTCTTGACAGCTGTCGTGTCTGATCGCGCGCCGGGCGGCCCGGTTCACCCGTTTATATTCGGCGGAGCTGTGGCCGAGTGTAGCCAGCACGGCGCGGCGATGGGATAACAGATCGCTAGTCGGTTCACTTAAAACAGGCGCATGAGCATTCCTAATCCGCATGGTCCGCATGGGGGCATGTGAATCGACAATGGGTAAAAACAGGTCGGTAAAACAGTTCCATTTCAGGGTGACAGTAGGGGCAGTCAAATCGAGCAGTCTCGCAGTCATGTGGATATCAGGGCGACATGCTTTCTAAACCTTTACGATCGTTGTGTTACCGAACTGGGGCTGGGCTGTGATTTCGGGATACGTGTTCATCTACCCATTATGACGCACTCCTCACACGCCACACCAGACTCGGACTGCGACTCACCACATGGAGGCAGGCGGCGGCCGTGATACGGCTGCGCTGCTCGGCCGACAGCGTGAACTCGTGCACGGACAGCGAGCGGTCCAGGTCGACGCTCTCGTCGTCGGCGAAACTCAGCGAGGCTCCGTTCTCCTCGGTCGCCGGGTTCCAAGTGCGCGCGTTCTCTGCGGCGAGACGTGAAATTCGTCGTAATGTTTTGTGAACAAATGGCACTGATAATCCAGCAGTTAACAACGAGTTTTTATGCGGTACCGTTTCAGACGACCATGACGTACCCTGTATTCTTTCTGAGAGCTGTGGTGTGCGCACGAAGGAGAAGTTTTTCAGTTTGGCCGGCATCTGCATCAGGAAGGAGTTGTTGATGGTGGAGACGGTCACCGGCGAGGGTAGGTCCGGGTCGTCGGGGTTCCGCCACAAATAGTTGAACAGCATCACCTGCGAACGACATATGCACGCTGCATCAACATCGACAACTAACGTCATGCGTCAACGTCATACTCATGAGTTAGAGCGTCATGCTCCTCGCAACAATATTTTTAGCAACACACACTTGCTTTAGCCTTCTCGTCCGAGTCCAAGCCAGGGTTTTCTGTCCAAGCCAGGGTTTTCTATCAGTGTCGGGCGGCTCACCTTCCTCAGGTAGAGGCAGACGAAGAAGACGCAGACGCAGACCAGGTTGCAGATGACGGTGGCGGTGGCGGCGCTGTGCTCAGCCGGCCAGGAGAGCACGGCGGCCAGCCAGCCGGCCCAGGCGGCGCCCGTCAGACCGGCAGTGGCCAGCAGCCAGCGCGGCTCCGGCTCGCGGCCGCCCGACGCCGACTCGCCGCGCCAGCCGGCCGCGCAGAAACACACCAGGCCCAGCTTCAGCAGCAGCACGTAGATGAGCGAGACGGCCAGCTCCGCCTCGAACCGGCCGGCGGGCGCGCACCGCAGTCGGCCGACCAGCATCTGGGCGCGCGGCGGCGACAGCACCAGCCAGGCGGCGCCCAGCAGCGCCTGCACGGCCAGCAGGCAGAGCGAGACCAGCAGCAGAGCGCCGCGCTGTGACAGCTCGTCGCACCGGCCACCGGCCACGCGCCACACCTGGATCATCTTGACCAGCAGCGCCGAGTACACGGTGGCGTACGCCAGGCCGGTGACGAAGCGGCGCGCGCCGCACACCCCGGCACTGGCCGGCAGCAGGAAGGCCACGTTGTCGCAGCAGATGAGGATCAGGCCGACCAGCACCTGGGCGTCGACTGGCGAGCGGCAGACGCGACTACTGGCCGACAGGCTGAAGTAGGCTAGACAGCCGAGCGCCACCAGAACACCTAGCGCCGACAGTACCACGCTCACCACCCCGAACACGGACCGCAGCGCGGCCGGCTCCGGCTCCGGCGGCGGCCCGCCGGCGCGCGGCGCCAGTAGCTCCGTCTGCTGCGCGCAGGTGGCCAGGCACGGCCCGGTGCTGCACTCAGAGCGGTGCTGCTCCAGCGCGGCCCGCCAGCCGGCCTCGCCCTGGGCCAGCCGCAGCAGACCGCGCCCGTAGGAGGCCAGCGGCCGCGGCCGGCGACCGTCCGGGACCGCCCACAGCTGCAGCTCGGCAGAGAGCAGCCGCGGCCGCTGCGGCGTGGAAGACGAGGTGTTGGCCAGACGGGCGTCCAGCGCTTCCATCAGCTCGGCGCCGACCAGCTGCGCGCACGGCTGTCCGGGCACGCAGTGGCGCTGCAGGTACTGGGACAGCGTGTCCAGCAGCGCCGCCACGGCCGCAGACGCCTGGTGCACGTACGCAGAGACGGGTGGCGGGCTCTGCTCGCGGGGCAGCGCGGCGCAGTCGGTCGACGCCGGCTGGCCGTCGGCGGCGGCCTCCGCGCACTTGCGACGCCGCTCGGCCAGTTCGGCGAACCACTCGTCCGGCAGCGGCGCGTGCGAATCGGCGCTCATGGTGGCCAGCCACCGGGAGACGGCTGTCATCGGCGGCGACTCGGGCAGCGAGACGAACACGGCGCGGCGCAGCGCCGGCGCCAGCCGCTCGTCGTCGGGCGGCGGGCCGCCGTGCCGGCCGACCACGAACAGCAGCCGCTCCCGGAGACCGTCCTCAGCCGCGGCGGCCGCGGCCAGCAGCCGGCGCGTCTGCTCGGCCCGCGACACCAGCACCACCACGGTGGAGGCGGCCGAGTCGCGGCCCAGCTCCGCCAGCGCGCCCTCGGCCTCGGCGGCTCCGAACCCGCCGCCGACGCCGATCACCGAGCCGACGCAGATGTCGTGCTGCGGCGCCGTCTCGACCAGCAGCTGGCGCGCCCACAGGCCGTACTGGTCGGTCGAGTGCAGTACCGACAGGTAGCGCCAGCCGAACCGGCGCGCCAGCGACACGACGGCGTGCACCTCCAGCTCGACGGGCGGCACGGCCCGGTAAGGCCCCACCAGCCGGTCGTAGGCGCCGCCGTGGCCTGTCAGCGGCAGCCACACGTGCGGCACGCCCGCCTGGCGCAGCATGCCGGCCACGGCGGCGCCGGCCGGCTCAGACAGACTGAGCACCCCGAGCAGCCGGCGCGGGTCGGCCGCCGCCGAGCTCAACAGCGAGAAGAGCTGGTCGCGCGCCCGCTCCGGTCGGCCGCACGTGTCCAGCACCCGGGCGCCGACCGGCAGGCGGGAGGCGGCCACCGACCAGGCGGCGGCCGCCACGCCCAGCAGCGTCTCCGTGTCGGCGAGCGGGCCGCAGCGGAACATGTCGGCGCCCTCGCGGTGGACGGGCGCCAGCACCGCCAGCTGGTAGCTGGAGCCGGCCAGCGCCACCTGCCGATCAGAACAGGACTTACCACTGCACTCGACTTTTGGGAGACAACAAACTACTAAGCTTGGTCTGCCAAATGACACTGAACCCTAACCAGGAAGAAGCACAGAAACCCGACTTCAGCCAACCTCCATAATTTCATTTTCATTGAGAGGACGTGTCGTGTCGCCAGGCAGCCGTTTCTTACCTCCATAATGTGCGTCTGGTCGGGCGGCGGCTGGCAGCTGGGACACGTGGAGCGCACCTCGGCGGCCGGCACCGGCTCGCCGTCCGCCTGGTACGCCACCAGCTGCTCCAGCTCCAGCTGCAGGCCGTTCTGTACCGTGCAGTTACCGACCGGCTGCCAGTAGGCGCCCTCGTCCGACTCTGGGTCCACCCACAGACTCTCCACCTGGGAGACACAGTCCCACGGGTTAGGTCACCAGACTTCTCCTGCTGGTCACATATCACAGGTCATTCATCATCCTCCCCACCTGGGAGACACAGGGCGCAGGCCAGGTCGTCGGCCTGTGCCACTCTCCAATCGGAAACGGTGCGTCCCATTCCCCGCCGTAAGAACCATTGTGCTCCATCCAGTCTTACTAGTCTTCTCGTCTAACACAGTCATCCACGTTGTCTCACATTTATACTGCATGACCATATCATCCTCTCCTGTCTCGTCTGGCTGTCTACCGTACTCGTCTCATGCCTAATCTGTCTCTGTCCGGGGCCGAGCCCTGTGCGAAGTCCTTAGACCAGTCCGCACACCTGTCCTATGACGTGTCCCACCTGGAGCGGCGCCGAGGCCAGGTAGTGGCTGTCCAGGAACGAGGTCGGCCCGCCGTCCGCGCCCGGGAACGTCAGTGTCGTCACGTGTCGGGTCAGGTCGTCGGCGTCGAACGCGTCCAGGGTGGACAGGTCGCACTCGGCCGTCTCCGGATCTCCGGGGGAAACACGGTCAGAGGTTCGGTCAGTCGGCGGAGAGCTATTTGGGTCTGAAGGGAGCCAGAGCCCGGTTAGTCGGCGAAGGTTGTGTCTGAAGAAGCTTTTGATATGTTACTCGCAAAGTTGTTTTACAGGAAGGTGTCATAGTGAAAGAGATATTCAGTAGACTTCGGCAAGCTTTACTTTACTTCTCGATGTGCTAAGCTACTGTTTGGTTATCAGTCTTTTGAATGAGTTGACGGTCGGTGGCCGGCGCTACCTGGGCAGATGGCGTCCAGTAGAGGCAGCAGGTGGGCGCTGAGCGCCGTCACCGCCGTCACGGCCGCCGTCCAACTCTCGCCCTCTGTCCCCTCTCCCTGCCGCGGCTCGGCCTCCGGCCACAGGTCAGCGGTCAGGGCGGTGGCCGGGGCACGGCCAGGTGCGGGCGGCGGCGGCGGAGGCACCATGCGCACCGCTCCGGCCGTGCCGGAACTGAAACACATTGCCTGGTCAGTCGCTGTTCCGTCCAACTACAGTCCAATATTCCAGCATTTCAATATATGATGTACGTACAACAAGCATACCTAAAATCTGCCATTGTAATGTAAGGCATTGTAAATCCGGTAGTATCAGCTGGTACTCACTAGTCGACCTCTCCGCTGCGGCTCAAGTCGACGCTGATGACGAACAGCCGGACACCATGTTGTCGGAGGGTACTCAGCAGCTGCCCGGTGACCGGCGCCGGCAGCAGGGTGATCAGTACATGCGCACCGCGCTGCCGGCCGGCGGCCAGCGCTGCCGCCGCCGCCGCCAGCTGCCCGCCGCCCGGCTCGGCGCTGAGGGCCTCTGTGACGGCCAGTCGCGGCGGCCGCGGCCCGGCCGTCAGCTCGGCCAGCACGGCCGCGTGCCAGGCCGAGTGGGGCGCGTGCACCAGCGACACCAGCCGCCACTGCAGCTGCTCGAGCAGGCGGCCCAGCGCGGCGGCCGTCGTCTGCGGGTCGGCCGAGAGCGAGAGGCGGCCCTCGCCGCCGCCGGCCGCCGCCACCACACTGGGCACCCGGTGTCGCCGGAACGCCGCCGCCACTGCCTCCGAGCCGGTCAGCTCGATCAGACCGGCCAGCCGGCGCGGCGGCCGGCCGGCTGCCGACAGCACCACCGCCGCCTGCTGCTGCCGGCGCAGCGGCTGCTGGCAGCCATCCACCAGCAGCAGGCCGGGCCGGTGGCGCGGCCGGCGCCGCCACGAGCGCTCCAGCGCCGCGGCCGCCCAGTCGAGCGCGGTGAGCGCGGCGGCGCGCGGCCGGCCGCAGCCCAGCGCGCCGCCGCCGCGGCCGTGCGCGTCCACACTGAGCGCCAGGTACCAGAGTGAGCCGCCGGCGGCCGGCAGGTGGCGCTCGGGCAGCGGCGGCGGCGGCTCCCAGGCCCAGTCGGCGCCCCGCCGGCCGCCGGACTCCGTACTGCTGGCCGCTGTCGACGTGGACATGTTGGATGTTTCGGTGGTCCACTCTGTGGCGCTGGTGGTTTGTGGAGTCGGCATGGACTGGGTCATCTTCTTCAGTATGGATTCGATCGTGCTTGTTTTCCTGTACGCTGAGGCGATTGTACTGGTCCATCTCGTCGACGAAGGTTCTGTCGGTGCTGGGACCGCAGACACAGCTGAATGCACGACAGTCTTTTCCATTTCTTTTTTCTCGTCTCTGGTGTTCGATTCCGACGTCGTGGTTTTAGCCGTTGAAGTAAGCTCGCTGAGTATTTTGCTGACTAGGGAAATCGCGCTCGTGTCTTTGGTGGAGGACACCGTGTCCTTGGCGGCTGGCCTTCGCACGAGCGCCGGCGGTTTGGTATTTAGGGTCTGTGATACCAGCACACTGGACGCTCGAATGGCTGTGGTTGTCGTTGGAGACTTACTGACTTCAGAAGATAATGTTTTCGTCACTTCCGTCGACTGGCTACTGCCAGTTTGACCGCTCTCAGTAGACATCGATACCAGTGTGTCTTCTGTCGATGTGCCATTCATTCTGGCTGAATCAGCCTCGTGTCTTGATGGCATTTTCGTATTGGTATTTACTTTTGTTGGCTGTATTGTGCTTGACCCATTCATCGACTTCGACTGGCCTGTTGCTGCTTGTGAAGGTTTTCTAGATCGCATTGTCGTATCTTGGTCGGACGTCTTCACTTTACTATCTGATGATGTTCTTGAAGTGTTGACGATACCTCCAACTCTCTTCGTTGTTTCTTCATCAAGCGCTTTACTCTCACCAACCGAAGAACCTGGAGAGCCGTTGGGTGACATGGATGTTTGAGTTATCGCTGCTTCGGAGGCGCTATTGGGTATAATCTGAGTGGTCGCATCATGTAGCTCAGGTGAGCGGTCCGACTCCGATCCATCCACCGCGCTATCCACTGGCGGTCCGCTGAGATGGCCGGTGGCATTGGCCGCTACGCTTATGAGTTCGGTAACGCTGTGCGGGCTCACTTCAGGGGCATTTCCGTTCTCTTCGGAAGGATGTGCTATGTTAGTGTCTGAGCTGGCGGTATCGTCCAACATCTCCGGCTCTGATGTGGTCATGGACGTCTCTCCTGTTTTAGCAGCGGCGTCTAATGAGTTGATGTTGGACCCTCCCACAGGCTTACCCTCCTCGATATTGGCAGTGGCGGTCGATTCAGCTTCCGCCTTGGGCGCCGCTGGCGACGATTCGGAAGTGATGACTCGGCTGGTCGTGGTTTCTGGTTCATCCTCTCTGGTCTCAGAAACACCGGCATTTGTGACATCGGTAACACTCGTGGTTTCGGTGACACCAACAGTTGCAGCATTCGTGACAAGAAGAGCCGGATCCTCAGTGATACCAGCATTTCTGGCTTCAGTAGCAGTTAAAGGCTCGGTAACGCCACTAGTTGTCTGTTCGGTAACGTTTGTGACATTGAGAACACTGATAGTTGTGACATCAGTAACTCCACCAGCTGTCTCAGAAACATCGGGCGCAACAGTGGAATGTCTGTCAGGTTCTTCAGAAGCATAGTCAGGTGGTGGCAATGGCTTATGTGCCATTTTTCCAGTCACCATAGGTTTTTCGATCGTTGGTCCGAGGGTGGTTACAGGCTGTTGTGTCATTACCCCATCTGCCGTCACAGGTTTTAGTATCGCCTGTTCGGTCACCGTCATCGGCTTCTCGTCCGCTGACTCTGGAGATGGCGAGGCTAGTTTAACCTCAGTCACTGGCTTATCTTCTGGCGGTTCAGCCTCGGTGTCAGGACCATCCACCGTCTGTTCAACCTTCGTGACAAGCTGCTCCACCGTCCTTCCAGCCTCAGTGACAGACGTAGCTGCTGTGGTAGCCTCAGAAGTGAATCCACTCGAGGCAGATTCAGCCTCGGTAGCAGATTCTTCCGTGGCCCGCCCGTTTACATCAGCAGCTCCAGTCGCGTTGTCTGCGGCGGGACAACCCTGAATCCAGCTGGCGGCGGCCACCTCCCGTCCGTCTGCCGTGTTGGCCACCACCGGTCGGCTGAGGTAGGCCCGGGTGGCGTCCACCTCGCCCACCTGTCAGGAGAGTTTCAGCGTCAGATTCACATTAGCTCACCGACATATGGTCAATAACAGCCACCGAGCGCTTCAGCAAACAGTTTAACGATAAATAAACTAGACAGTTCACATTTTTCAATTTCTCACAGTCATCGCGTACCCATTGATTCTCACCTAACGTAACGCACAACCCTGTCCTGGTCCCGCTGCCCTTCCCACCTTGACGTAGTGCATCTCTCGAACGGTGGGGATACGCCGCATGTCCCGGAGGTTTAGCAC